ACAGACCCAGACATAGATTTCTAGTAGTCTCTAGCCCGCTGGTCTCGTCCTCGGTTGGCCTGCATCATCTAAATCTGAAAAGAAAAGTTATAATTATTTTGATGAGTAATTAGATTACCGAGCAAGTAGCTAGCTTATCATTTAAGAGGTCATAACTAATCTTTCCAGGTGTTTTTAAGTTTTATTCGTCATTGACTCCTAGTTTTTTCATTAGGATCATCTGTTCGTTAATAAGGTATCTCAGCTACCTCCAGCTTAGATTATTGATTCTTTTTTTATATGCTTATCTAGAATTTTCGGACTCGTATGTAAGACTCGCTCTCGGTCAAATACGGCCCGTCTACTAATTTCTCTGGCGGCCTGTTTATCACATATACCAACGGTCAGGAGTACTCATGCTCCCTGACTTAGCACACAGCGCGTTGGCCAGGAACTCGCGCAGGAATTAGTAGACTATCATACTCATATAAATAAGCCATAGCTCAACAACCGATAAGCATATCCCAGAGTCATAACCTTTCCATTAACATACGTAACGTACTCACATTTACTGCATGCTTTCATACTTGTATCGTGTTCAACTCATAGAACATTCTGGCAATCATTTATATCATGCTTACATCACAGGCAAGCAATCACAATATACAATAAACAGTCAATATCATCAAAGCTCGTCATAACATACTAAGCTCTTAATCAGGTAAACAACATACTCACATGTTGTAAAACAAGTTAAGAACTAGTTCAAAGATCGATATGCTACTTACTTGGTTTCGAACTCCTTTTCCCCCTTGAATGTTCGTTTAATAAGTATTCCAACACAATTCCTTTCTATCACATCCTCTAATAATCCATTCATCATTCCCACGCCTCCAGCCTACGCGTCCGTTGCCCTTCATCTCCCTTTACAGCAGCTGCTTCGTTTTTTTATTTTTTTTAATTTTATTTTAATAATAATAATCATCATCATCATCAAACACACGACAACAAATACAAAATACATATTATCATTATTTTATAGGTTATTACATAACTAGTGAATAGAACGCTTTTTCAAGTTAATTTAAGAAAATATGGAAAAATTAATGAGCCCATTGGGCCAGGTGTTGGACATAAGCCCAACTGTTTGTGGTTTTTTTTCGTCAACTTTGAGCTCGATATGTCCTCCGTTTGTTGTAGCGAGTACAAAGCTTTCAGAAACCGCTCTCATCAAAACCTTTGTCTCCTCCATCTTTGGCATTAATGTTGCTTTCATTCGTCATATCCATTATATGATCGTTGACACGATTGACAAGGTCGCCTACAACTAGTTCATTAAATTAACCGACGATCCTTTCAATAGAAACTTAATCGAGTATGTTAGGGGTGTTCATATAATGTGATATCTCACATCGGTTGAAGAGCATAATAAAACATTATTTATAAGGGCGGGGAAATCTCTCTATAGCAAATGTGTTTTTTTTTAAAACTTAGAGAAAACTCGAAAGGAAAATTTCAAAGAGGATAATATTTGGTAACAGTGGCTTGGATTCGGGTTGTTACACATGGTATCAGAGCCAGACAATGGACAATGTGCCAGCGAGGATTTGAATTCCGATGGGGGTGGACATAAGGCGGTGTGCCAGCAAATATGCTGGGCTCCAAAGGGGGGTGGATTATGAGATCTCGGGAGGAGAACGAAACATTTTTTATTAAGGTCTGAAAATTTCTCTCTAGCAGGCGCGTTTTAGAAACCATGAGAGGAAGCCTAAAATGGAAAACCTAAACAAGATAATATATGTACTGGCGGTTGGTCTTTTGGGCTTGAGCTATTACATATAACTTGAGGACCCGACCAACTTGGATTACCCAACTCATACCATAAAAGTTGGGCTAAATTTTGAGAACCCGACCAACCTGGATTACCCAACTCATGCCATAAAAGTTCGGCTAAATTTTGAGAACCCGACCATCCTAAATTTTAATCTCGACACAAAAAGTTACAAAAAAAAAAAAAAAAAAAAT